GGGGTCTCATGACGCTGTCCCTTGTTGTCCCCCGGTGTGACATGTCCCCTCTGTCCCTGCAGACGTCCACAACCTGCGGATCCAGTGCAGGGTCAATGGACAGCTGATGCAGGACAGCAACACCAACCAACTCATCTTCCCCATCCCCAAACTCATTGCTTGGGTCTCCCGGTAAGTCTTGGTGGGGTTGGGGTCAGGGGGCATCCCCATATTCCCCCTGTCCCCCCAGGAATGTCAGGGGACTACAAGTGACACCTCTTGTCATACTCATCCCCCCCCAGGTTTGTCACGCTGGTCCCTGGGGACATTTTGCTTACGGGGACCCCTGCGGGGGTGGGGGCATTTCGGAAGCCCCCCATCTTTCTGAAGGTGAGGGGAAAAGGGAAGGGGGCTTGAAAGAAAAGGGAAGGCCTTGAAAAAATGGGGGAGACTTGAAAAAAAAATGGATACACCTTTACATGTGTCCCCATTACCCCCCCATACAGAGAGGAGACGAGGTGGAGTGTGAGATCGAGGAGCTGGGCACCATCCGCAACAAGGTGGTGTGAAGACACCAGTTTGACCCATTTCACCCCAATTTGGCAGCCCCACCACCCCCAGACCTCGCCCCCAAGTCCGTCCTCCCCCAGGGTTTAATAAAAGCAGGAGCCAGGGGCATTACCTGATCCCAGCTCCCTGGGTGCCTACGACTGGGTGAACTGGTGGATAAAGGCTTCCAGCTTCTCCCGGTTGGTGGCAGTGAGGAAGGGCTGGGGGAGCTGGAGCTGGGGACCTGTGGGGGTCTGCACCTCCTCCAGCACCTGGGGTGGGTCACGGGGTGAATCAAGGGGGAGCAGTTTGGGGTCTGAGTTTTTCTGGGGGGCTGGCAGGGTCCAGCCATGCTTACCCCCATCTCCCTGAAGGTCTGCAGTGAGCTGAGGGCCAGGCTCCTGCTGGGGGGGCCTGTGCGGGGAGAAGTGCCTGAAGGAACAGCTGTGGGGCACCCCCAGACTGGTTCAGAGGGGGATCCTGACCCCCAGACCCCTGTGGCCTGGCTCTGGGGTGTGGGTGATGACCCTCAGACCCCCCCCAGATTGGTTTGGGGTGTGTGTGTGATTATCCCTAGGCCCCCCCTGGACTAGTTCTGAGGGGGGGTTCCAACCCCCAGACCCACTGGATGGGCTCTGAGGGGAGTGAGGTTCCGACCCCCAGACCCCTCCCAACCTGGCCTGAGGGGAACAGTGTTGACCCCCCAGACACCCCTGGCCTGGGGCAGGGGGGTGTGCTGACCCTCCAGGCCACCTCCCGCCCCCAACTCACCCCAGCCCTCCTCCTGGGCCAGGAACTGCAGCAGGTCCTCCAGACAGGCTGCCTCTGGGGGGCACAGTGGGGAGAGGAGGGGTCAAACCCCAGCCCCTGGGCAGGGGGCTGGTGTGTTTAGAGAAGCAGTTGCCCACTCCAGGCAGAGGATTGCCCACCCTCGAAGCCAGCGGCTCCGGTGAAGCTGCGCAGGACGGGGCCGAGGAGGCGGCAGAGGAAGAGGAGGAGGCCGGGGCAGCCCGGGGGCTCACTCACCTAGGGGGTGGGGGGTGAGGCTGAAGGTCAGTGAGGAGCTGAGGGGGGTCCCGGGGGGTTGGGGGCACCTTGGTACCTTGAAGCAGCGCTTGGGGACTTCGTTTTCGCTGTCACTGTCAGTGAAGTCCATCCCAGGCCAGGGCTGCGAGGACACGTCACAGAGCCAGTGCTCGTTCTCCTAGGGGACACACACATGGGACCCTCATCCCCATCGTGGTCAAGACCTCAGGGAGCAGGGGGGGACGCCTGAGGGGGGTGACACCCACCTCCTCAGCCTGCAGGAGCCCACACAGGAGGAGCTTGTCCAAGATGTCCTGGCTCTGGCATTCCAGGGGCTGGCAGGGCTGGGGGACAAAGGGACAAGAAGTGGCAGTGGTGACAGAGGACCTCAAGGGGTGGCACCGCCCCCATCCCGCACCCCCAGCTCCCACCTGGAGCCCCAGGAGGTTGGGGGGCAGCAGCTGGAGCAGCTCCAGGGTCTTCTGGTGCAGCTCACCCTGGCTCAGGATGATGCCGGGGGGCCCAGGGGGGCCTCCCAGGAACGGCAGCAGCTCCAGCAGGAGGGCTCGGATGGCACAGGCTGGGGGGGTGGGGGCACCCAGATGGCATCCAGCCCTGGTGGCACCAATCCCCCCAGCACCACCCAGCCCTGGTAGCACCAATCCCTCTGGTGGCACCAGTTCCTGGTGGCAACCACCCTTCTGGTGTTAGTGATTCCCCCAGAGTTGCCCATCCCTGGTGTCACTGATTACCCCCAGTGTTGCCTGTCCCAGTGTCACCGATTGCCTTGGTGTCACCAATTCCCCCAGGTGTCACCTGTCCTTTGTGTCACAGATTCCCTTGGTATTGCCCATCCCTGGTGTCACTGATTTCCCTGGCGTCACCTGCCCCTGGTGTCACTGATCCCCTGGTGTCACCTGTCCCTCACGTCACTCAGTCCCATAGTGTCACCCATTCCTGGTGTCACCCATTCCCCTCACACCTCCCTCCTCACCTCCCACGGCCTCGCAGGCGAAGACAGGCAGGAGGGCAGTGCTGTGGTGGCCCAGCTCCCTCCAGGCCTCAGCCGAGGCCTCGGGGACCACCAGGACGTCCCCGAGGGGCCTGAGGTGGTAGAAGGTGACGTGGGGGCCGAGCAGGCGCAGGCTGTGCCAGACCACAGCGCGCAGCTGCCCTGAGAAGCCCACGTCATGCCGGCGCAGCAGGATCTCCTCCAGCAGCCAGGAGAAGTCCAGCATCAGCCTGGAGAGGAGGACTCCCTGGAGGAACAACAGGATGGTCACATTTGGAAAAGACCTCCAAGAACACCAAGTCCACCCGTTCACCCAGCACTGCCCAGTCCCCACCAACCCATGTCCCTCAGCACCATCTCCAGGGCTTGGAAACCCCTCCAGGGATGGGGACCCCCCCCTGCCCTGGGCAGCCTGGGCCAGGGCCTGACAACCCTTTCCATGGAGAAATTGTTCCCAAGATCCAACCTCAACCTCCCCTGGGCAACTTGAGGCCGTTTCCTCTTGTCCCATCACTTGTTCCTGGGGAGCAGAGCCCGACCCCCCTGGCTCCAACCTCCTCTCAGGCAGTTGCAGAGCAGAAGGTCTCCCCTCAACCTCCTTCTCTCCAGGCTGGACACCCCCAGCTCCCTCAGCTGCTCCTCACAAGTTCTCCAGAGCCTCCTTGTTCTCCAGACCCTTCCCCAGCTTCCTTGCCCTCCTCTGGACACCCTCCAGCTCATCCATGTCCCTTTTCTGAGCCAAAACTGACCCCAGGATTCAAGGTGCCCCCTCAGCAGTGCCCAGCACAGGGGGACAATCCTGCCCTGGTCCTGCTGGCCACACTGCTGCTGACACAAGCCAGGGTGCTGGTGGCCTTCCTGGCCACCTGGGCACACACTGGCTCATGTTCAGCTGCTGTGACCAGCACCCCCAGGTCCTTTTCCCTCTGGCACTTTGTTCTTCCCCTTTGCCTGGGGTTGGTGTGACCCAAGTGCAGGACCCAGCACTGAGCCTGGTTGGACCTCATACAACTGGCCTTGGCCCATGGATCCAGCCTGTCCAGGTCCCTCTCCTACCCTCAGGTAGATCAACACTTCCACCCAACTTTTTGTCACCTGCAACCTTCCTGAAGGAGCACTCAGTCCCCTCATCTAGATCATGGATAAAGGTGTTCAACAAGACCAGCCCCAACACGGAGCCCTGGGGACACCACCCACCAACTGGGTTGAACTCCATTCACCACAACTCCCTGGGCTTGGCCATCACCCACTGAAGAGTCCGCCTGTCTATGCCATGAGCCAACAGCTTCTCCAGAAGAAGAGGATGAGCTGGGACTCTCATTCCCAAAGGAGAAGAAAGCTGGAAGAGCTCCTGGTCTCACCTGGCGATGCTTGTACAGCAGAAGGGCCGACGTGATGTCCACAGCCATGATGGCAGAGCAGGCCATGGTGTCTGGGATTTGGGAAGAGCTACAGGTTGGGGGGGTCACCCCATAGATGTCACCCAGCGGGTGCCCACCACCACCAGCCCTCCCAGATTTTTCAGGCTCTTCATTTCCAACTGGGGAACACGTGGTGGCCCCAAAATCACTGGTAACAGCACAAAGACTGGGGGGACCTGGCAAGACCCACAGGTCTGCACAGACAGGGGGACAGCCCAGGACCCCCCACAGACCCCTCACCGCTCAGGCAGTGCAGGCCCAGCTTCATCACCAACATCTCCTCCTCTTCCTCTGAGCTGCTGGCCACAGTGGGGCTGGGACTCCTGATCTTGGCCTCTGGCAGAACAGGGCTGAAGAAATGGGGGGAGGGGGGAAAGTGGGGCTAGAAGTGGGGGTGAGAGGTGAAGTGTTGCCCCCCTGTCCAGGCCCTGGCTCACCAGGTGCCAAGGATGGCGGGCAGCAGTAGCTCCTCCAGGGTCTCCCCACTGATCACCAGCTTTTTGGCCACAAACTCCTGCAAATGGGACAAAAGAGCCCATGGGCACTGGCAGCACCCAGCACCAACACAGGGGGGTGGATCCCTGAGGGGGGACATGTCCCCAGGGACCCTGAAACCCCTCCCAGCTTCCCCTAAAGGTGGGATCACCAGAGTCCCTGGAGTACACTGGACACCTGGAGGACACTGGATCCCCCCCCTGGAAGACACCAGATCCCTCCCAGCCCCCCCATCTGACCTGCAGGTGTTTCCCCACCCTCCCCACTCCCACCAGGCAGGATTCCTGGTGGGATCCATGGCTGCTGTACCTGCAAGGAGAAGGGCTGGGCAAAGTCCACGCGGGCAAAGCCGCGGGGCTGGCGCAACGCCCGGCACAGCATCCACAGGCAGGAGCCCAGGCTGAGGGGACGGGGGGGACACTGGGGCAAGAAGGGGACAGAAGTGTTAGTGGGGGGGAAAAGACCTGGAGCAAGACCAGGAGGTCATGGAGATGATCTGAGGGCTGGAGCACCTCTTGGTTCTGCCTGGAGAAGAGAAGACTCCAGGGAGCACCTTCCAGTAGCTGAAGGAGCTCCAGATACCTCCAGAACCAGGGTGAGACCGTGGGAGAGCTTGGCCAGGGAAGCTGTGGCTGCTCCATCCCTGGGCATGGGTTGGTGGGGACTGGGTGGTGCTGGGTAATGGGTGGACTTGAGATGATTTCAGATGGAGGTTGGACATGAGGAGGGAATTCTTCCCTGTGAGGGTGGTGAGAGCCTGGCCCAGGTTGCCCAGGGAAGCTGTGGCTGCCCCATCCCTGGGGGTGTTGAAGGGCAGGTTGGATGGGGCTTGGAGCAGCCTGGGCTGCTGGGAGGTGTCCCTGCTGTCCTGGGACTGGACGATCCTCAAGGTCCCTTCCAACCCACTCTGTGCTGAGATGATTCTCTGCTCTTCCAGGCCCTTTCCCACCACTCCCTCACCTCTCCATGCTGCTGCAGACCTCCTGGCACCAGGTCGTAGGCGATGCCGACGGGGAGCAGCAGCAGGTCGGGCACGGCGTGGCGGCGCAGGGCGCGGAGCAGGGCAACCAGCCAGGCCCGAGCAGGGCCCGACAGCTGCCAGGGGGCCTGGGGCTCCTCCAGGAAGATCAGCAGAGCCTGCTGAGCCCCCCCTCCACGTACTGGGGTGGGGTTGGGGAAAAAAAAAAAAAAAAAAAAAGGGGTGCAGCACCCAGCCCACAGTACTGAAGGGCAGTTAAGAGCCCCCCAGATGCCTCCACTGGGCACTCTTGGGGTGTTTCAGCCCTCCCAGCACCCCGAGATGGACTTACCGTGGCCAGAACAACCTCTGGGAGCTCCTTGTCCCTGTTGCTTCGTGTCCCCTCTGTCCTCCAGGGCAGGAAAACCCCTCCTAGACGGCTGAGCAAGGCTCTGGGTGGGGGGGAACACCACTTTGCATCCCACTGCCCCTGGGGGTCCTGAGCATTCCCTGTTCCCCCAGCAGGGTCTGGGTGCCCAACAGGCCTTACCGGAGGGGGGGGCTGGAGGGGCGGGGCACCCCCGGCCACCTGCGGCCCCCCC